ATGATATACAAACTCAAGAAATGCCTATTTTCATAGGACTTCAGATCACACCAATCATATGAAAATGAATGTATCAAGAAATGAGTGCAAATGGTAGCTTAAACTGTGAGTTTAAAGTTAAGAAAAAATTACCAAACAGAGTGAGTTTGTTGCCCCTTTAAATGTGATTACAGTAGCAAAAGGATAATCCTCTTAGCTTCCTTGGACTTTAATGAAGCCATTGATGTGCTTACTTTGCTTTGAAATAAGCTCAAACTTTCTAACCAACTCAAAGTGCAAACTCAAAAAGTGAGAAATGAAGGTATGGACTGGGTTGTAGAATCAGACTTAAGGTTGTAGTAGCATCTATATGATGTATGGAATATGTTTGAATGATTTGTTTGCAAAGAACTTGCAAGGGTTGTGAGTTTAGAGTTTATGGTGAGAAAACCGGCAACAATGGAGTTTTTTTGTAAATTTTGGTGTGTGTTGCTTTGAGACTTGTTTTTCTATTTATAGAGTTTTCAATGGTCTATGTAACTTGATGAAGTTGATCTTAGTTCACATGGAATGGTAATTTGATCACTTGGTTTCACTTTGCATAAAAATGCATGTCTGGTCATGATGAAAGGATGGAGTGAAACAAGGAGTTTGTCATGCGTTTTCTAGCTTAAGGGGTTTCTTCTTGGCATAAGAGACTGCTTGTGATCTGATTAGAAGCAAAGTGCATGCTTAAATGAAGATTTTTTGGCAAAAAACTTGTTTATCAAAAATGGAAATGTAGCTTTTGCAAAATGCTTCGAAAGTGGTGTGTGAATTGGGTAATGCTTCAAGCTCTTGTGTAATTCCTTAAAGGTTTGTGTAAATTTATGATTATGGAGAGATTTAGAGGTAAAGTAACTTGCAAAGTAAGATCAAAAGGTATGGCTTGGAGATTTGTCAAGAATTTTTCATAAAACTGACCTTATAACATCTTCACCATGGCTACTTCATAAATTCGAAACTCTTTGCTCAAGCATGATAAATTCATGCTCTTGGACTTTTTGGAAAGTTTGAAACATTATATAAAACTTTCATGTTGAACACTTTCCTTGAATAAACTGGGATCTTAGAGAAAAATGGCTATAAAGTAAGCTACTTAACAATTTCAAAAAGCTAGAAATTCTATAAACTAACTCCCCTCACCAGGGTTAAGTTCTACGTCTAACTCCCCTCATCAGGGTCGGGTTCTATAAACTAACTCCCTTCATCAGGATCAAGTTATACAACTAACTCCCCTTATTAGGGTCGAGTTCTACGTCTAACTCCCCTCATCAGGGTCAAGTTCTACAAATAACTACCATCATCAGGGTCTAGTCTACAAACTAACTCCCCTTATCAGGATCGAGTTCTACAAACTAACTCCCCTCATCAGGGTCGAGTTCTATAAACTAACTCCCTTTTTCAGGGCCGAGTTCTACAAACTAACTCCCCTCATCAGGGTCGAGTTCATAAACGCCAATAGACTTAAATCGGGAATGTCCGGTTTTAAGAGGTACTCTTAAACGGCATGGAAAGTGACCAAGTAACCCTATAAGATAATGCCTGGTATTACATGATCAGACACGTTCATCCCAATGGACTTTATATCTGAGTGGCTTATACATATACCGGATTATCTTTAAAAAATGCATAAAAAGCTAAGATGCAGGTAAACGAGAAGAAACGATTACATAAAGCCACAAAAGAGCAATATGGAGTACAAAGCTCAGAGGAAACAATTCAAAAAGTAAACAAAAAGGAAGGAGAACCACTCCTTACAAAAAATTACATAATCACATCCTTATCGGATGACTAACAGAAACAAAAATCATCAAGCAGTCGACCCCTCTTTCCCGTCATCATCATTGTTTACATTCTCCTCGGTAGCAGGATCTTCAGCATTCGGTTGAGGAGAATGAGTCTTCTTCATCTCTTCAAGATCTATAAGGAGACCATCCTGCATCACCTTAAAATAGTCCATCTCCGATATAGCCAGGCCAGGATAAAGGCACAATATTTGATCCTTGACCCGCTCAAAGGCTTCATCACCACCAGAAAGAACTTCCATCTGAGACTTTTTAAGAGCATCCCTTAACTCATCAGTAGTGGCCTTCAGCTCTTTGTTGGTAACCTTATCTACCTTCAACCTCGCGTTGAGTTGGGTAAGGGTGACATTATGGTCAGACTCTAGATTCTCCTGACACTCTTTCTCCTTAACTAAGGCTTTCTCCACTTCAGACAACTTCTCGGAATGAGCCTTTTGGGCCTCCTTCAACCGGGTTATCTCTTTCTTCAGTTTCGTTTCTGTCTCGTCATGATTATCAGCGGATTCAAAGAGACCACGGGTCAGAATTGCACACCTTATAAGATAGGAACTGGGATTCTGCGTCATCTTCTGTCTACCAACAGACTTAACCTTGTTGATATCCTTGGTGGTATTGAGATGATCATAGAGAAAGCAGAGTCTGTCAAAGCTATTAGACCAAAACTTGAAGTCTCTAGAAGCATGGCTATCCTCGAGTCCTCCCATTAGGGAGGTGATTTCTATATCAGCTCGGTAAACCTCATCGCTCATGAGGGTCTTGATCCTTTTGGGAGTACCTTGCTGAACCTCCTCTTGGATAACTGGGGTAGAAACTTGGGGATCAGTCGCGCTGGAAGTAGCCTTAAATCCCACCCCTTTGCGCTTCTTCAAATTCTGGGTCTCTAGTCCAGACAAGTCCGACTTGATCATAGAGGCCCCACCTGCACCCCTCAGGGAAACTCGTGCCTCCATCATCAATCTCTTCTGCTCGGCCATAGAAAGGTCTGTCATTTTATCTGTAAAAAAAGAAAAAGACGGTGTAAGCATGGTATAAGAGCATGTGCTGGCTAAAACAAAAACAAAGACTATTACCAAGAAAGTCAGGAATCTCTTTAACGGTTAGAGACAATAAATCTTTGATCTTTATCATATGAAAAGAATCAAGAATTGTCAGAGCTTATACTTTCAAGTTGCTCAACTTCTCAAATGTAAACTCAGATATGGGAGAAGGGTAACGGGTCCAATAGAAGGGAAAATGGGTCTGCCCACCCAAAGAGTACAAGACCTAGGGCCACCTCGACCCGTATTTCATCTTCAGGAACCTCTCCTTGAAACCCTTGTAGTTGGAAGTATACACCTAGAGGAAACTTCTGTGTGGAAGACCATTAACTTGGATCCACGAAAGCTTCTCGGACCCTTTTACCTCGTAAAAAGCGAAGAACAGACTGACTGTGGAAACGATGTCCATCGCCTCAAAAACTATTTCAAAGGCCTTTATAAATCCCCATGTGTTAGGGAGGAGTTACGAAGGCGTGACGTTCTTGACGTTCAGTAAGTTGACCTCGAACTAGGAAAAGGGTATTCGAATTCAGAAATCCTCTAGGTGATGTTATCCTGGAGTTATCTTTGACCTCCTTTGTGACTCGATTAAACTCCTCCTGACCTAAAATGCCCTTCATCTCTCGCATGCATTTGGTTCGTAAATTTCTCCTTTCCTCGACTTTAGAGGGTTTCACAATGTTTTCCTCACCGTCACACTCTTTCATGATAACCAAACCTAAAAAGTAAAACGAAAACGAAAGAGTAAAAAGAGAATACCTGGAAAAAATGGAGAAACCCTTGAGGGAGATTGAACTATTTCTTGGAAGAAATAAAACCTTCTGGAAATAACAAAGATAGAAAAGGAAAAAAGATGGTAAGGTTTTAATAGAGCCCATTAAACGGTACACTAGGCGTGAGGAACATCACCCAATGGTTCATATTAGAGCAACAATCAGATGACGCCTATATTACCTTCCGCGACTACGTGACTGGATACGACGTCCCTACAATAAAGGACTTGAACTCGGGGGGCTTATGTACATCTCAGAAATAATAAGCTCGACTGGGTAACATAGTCGGCAACACTAGAGGTTAAGCCAGTAGTCGGCCCATGGCGAAGGTACCCGGGGTGCAACTCGGTGAAAGGAGTATCAGATTGTCTTTGAACCCGGATGGCAACCTGTCGGCGTCATCGACCCGGATAAAGCGGTAGCCGGGACACACCTACCCGTAATCAGTCATTACCCCGACCTATTAATGACTGTAACCTTCGACGGCGCGATGATTACATCATTACACATCTTTGATTCTCCTATTTATGGAGACGACGAAGGTTATAGGGTTATGGGACTCAAGAGTCACTCATTAACGGAGACTCTTGATGGCATAGAGATAAACACTATAAAAGAGCTCCCACAAGAGGGATAAACAATACATTCATCTTAGGACACATGTTTCATTGACTTAACTCCCGAATCTCCCTATCAACCTCCTAAAAAGTTGATCGGATATTTGTTCCGCGCAAGCACAAATATGAATTAAGTTTGCTTTTGTAAAAAAAAACCTAATTTTCAATGAAAATTTTGATACAATATAAATTATTCAATTTTACTGTTTTTAAAAATTAAAAATTATATTTAATTTCCAACAACCAAATTAATGCATCTTCACTTATATAATGATAGAGGAGATTACATAAGGTTTCCAAATGGTCATCGTTATAGGTATAGTTTTTTTTTCTTTTAAAATAACACATAAAGGTTTAGAATACAACACATAAGTTGAAAATCAGTACAAGAAATACCAAAACTAACGTAGAAAAAAAAACTCGAACCGACCACCAAAAAAGGAAAAACACTAAAAGTAGCCAATCAAAGAAAACCAAAAAAACCAATACGTGAAATGGAAGCCAAAATCCAGAAACACCATAATGGGTCACAAGTTAGAACTCCCAAGTCACACACATGTGAAAATCGACACCAATCTCCACCGAGCAATAAGAACACACCTAAATCACGATACGGTTTTCAAACCAACTAAAAAGCACAAGATTTGTCCACGTACCTACGAAAATATCATTTTCAAACTAAAAGAATATTCCTATCTTCCATGTCTTTCGCTGTCACCAATTTACCTCAGAACACTAGTATAGTAGTTAACATTCAGGAATGGTGTCTAACATAGGTTTCCAGTGACTACTGCAGTGATGTTTATTCGCAGTTTCATGCTCTCTAGCTTTTATTATCCGAAACAGGACTCGTTCTCCTGAAGCTGATTCCTTCTTCTTCTTCTCTATCGCTTCCAATAGTTCGGCTAATTCACACTTTGAAATCTTTAACGTGACTTTACCATTGCCATCACAAGAAGCTCTAAGCTTTCCTAATACATCAGTCTCCTTATTGTGATGATGATCAAGATAAGCAGCTTCGTCAAACACCTTACTTGATGATGATGAACATGGCTTTGGTTGTTTCAAAGATTCCCAGTCGTCTCCACCCCACTCCATTGACGAAGCTGCTTTGCAACAGTTTCCCATATTTTCTTACACAACAATAATTAGCTTACAGATTATTTTCTAGGAGAATATATATTGGTTTATGTTTATTTAACTATATGTATTATTAAACTCTGAGAAGAATAGATTTTGGAAGCAGGAGAGGATTAACTTGATATATACATGTATATATAAGTGTGATATGTCAAAAATGGTGATGAAGGGAAAATTTGAGGTTAATGTCGTTGATAGCAGGTGGATCAATTAATTAATAGTAGTATATGATTTGTTTATTAATAATACGAGCTAGATAAGTGTGATTGGTGTGCATGGCAGTCGTAAAGGGTGTGTGAGGGTTTCATTTGTTGACCATATAAAATGACTTAATCGTGTACGATCTTTGTTTCCAAATATGTGTGAACCGAAGGAAGAGATAATTAATAGCACCTGCCTAATACTACCATAGTACTTACTTCTAGGCAGGTGAATGTGAATGGACATATAATCATATTTATTAAAGTAGAAGCTTGACATAAGCGATTACTCTTTAAATCATGTGTGAAGTTAGGAGTGTGGTGAAAATTTTGAGATTGGGAGTAGTGACCTCGAAAAGGAATGAAGATGTGTTGATTGGGACCTCGAGAACACGCGCATTGATGGATATTAAATTTGTATTTAAAATATTTTGTAGTTTAACCTCTTCATATGACTCTTGACTTCAGGAGACATGTGGTATTTTTTACAGTGCTCGAGTATGGTGATCAAGTCGAGGTTAAATTTGGACTGTTATTATGTTTGTTTCTTTTTCTCGATCTTTGGTTGTAGATCTTGAGGCTATTTATTGCCAATATATAAAGATTAGAGGGTGAGTTTGATTTTCTTTTTGCTATCATCGCTTGTTAAGCCCTTTAACATGCTCATATGAATCCTTATTCCCTCATAATTATCCAGCTTTGATGGCTTTTCAAGAGATTTGAGGATCGTCTTATCAAGGACATGTTTAAAGCATGGTTTTTCTTGCCGTTAGAGAGGGCATGCGTTTTGTTGTCATGTTTATCTCTTCTCTAAGAGTGATGCAATATATACTTTTCAGGAAAGGGGATTCTCATGTGACGTGTGATTGACTTCTCCACCTCTGAAACTGTGACAAGAAGATTATTGAGCTCAAGGATAAGATGCTTTGGTGATTTGGGGACACCCTAGTAATGTGAGGCGGTGTTGCCAAGAACCGACTAAGGTGGGTCTTTAAAGTTATCATGTTGTGTTACCTCCCACAATGTGTGACCTCCAAGACAAAGTAACTTATTGATTTTCTTGGATTCATAGGAATCTTTCAGCTAGGTAGTGTGTGGTTGTTGTTGTACCAAATTGCTAATCATACTAATTAGTCATTCCTTTATTGCATTTTAAAGGTGGTTTTGAGTTGTTGGAGGCTGTAAAACACTCTTGGTTCGAGAGCTTGTGTTTGTGGTTGTCGTCACTCTAGGGTAAGGCCTTAAAGAAACTATTAGAATGGTTGGAAGGTCGCAAAAGTCAGAAAAGTGTCTAGTCCGATAGGAGGAGTGAATGAAACTTGATGAGATGGTTGGAGGAGTTACAAGAACTAGATTAGTTTACTTTATAGGAGAAGACAATACCTTATATGCTGGTGTGACGACTTCAATCGCAACACCGACATTGCAATGTGGGGTTATCAGAGATTACATGGAAATTACAATCTCTCAGGGAGAATGACGAGGATTAGATCAGAAGAAAGAACAGTTGTGGTGGCACAATAAGTAAGATTTGGTGGATTTCTAGGTAAGTTCACTTGAATCAGGATGATTCTCACCGAAGACGTCACTATTTTGGTGAGAAGCAGGAGATTGGTGAAATGTAAACATAGAGCCCCTCTGGTTCAATGGAATGGACCTCTGATGCGGTGGAATGGAGATATACTTTCAAGGTTAGCACTAAAATGTCCAAGTCGTTGAGGTCATAAAGGAGTAACTTTGCAAGAGTGTAATAAAGTATCGACTAAGACCAGTATAAGAGCTTTTATATGGTAGGCGATTAAAACCACCGTCGCCCGACCCAACGTGAAATATGTGTGTTCGTCTAATTAGATGCAACAACCGATGATCAACAAGCAGTCCTGATTTAATTTGTGGTCTTATGATTATTCTGCCACCCCTCTGCAAAAGTATTATGGATTGAACTCGATATTGAACTAGTTGGCTGATCGGAAATAATTACAAAATACACATGGTCAGTCCGAAACAGTTACAAAATTCATATTTTTAGCATATATTTAACTTTTTGTTTATTTTTGTATACTCTTGTTACTTTTTTTGCTATGGTTTTTAAACCGTTACCTATTTTTCTGTTTCCTAAAGTCTAAAATGCTGTAATGAAAGTAGTTATATATTTGTTTTGAAAATTATAGATGTGTTTGAGACTTTGGTGTTATAATAATTTTTAGTTAATATTATTATTGAATTATTATTTGACAATGAGTATTACTTTTTCTCTGATTTATACTCTTGTGTTATTAATGTCTTGTATGTTGGTGCAAGGTGATGTCTTATGACACATATACCTCTTCTTGTAACGGGCCATTTAGAAATGCAGACTTCACATCCAGATGTATCAAAGGCCAATTTGTGTTTGCAGCTATAGCAATCACCAATCTGATTGTTTCGTGTCTAGCTACAGGCGCAAACACCTCAAAGTAATCTAGCCCAGGTTTCAGAAGAAAACCTCTAGCCACTAGTCTCGTTTTGTGTTTGCCAATTGATCCATCTGAATTAAGCTTCACCTTGAAAACTCATCTGACGCTGATGGCTTTCTTCTTTTCTGAAAGCTTCGTCAACTTCCAAGTTTTGTTTCTTACAATAGTCTTAAGTTCTTCCTTCAAGGAATTCAACCATACATTCTTCTTGAGAGCTTCTTCAATATCCACTAGTTCATAATCTACTAACATGGCACATTGAACGACTTCTCCTTCAGAATCTACTTCAGTATCACGCAACATGCTAAAATCTGCAAACCTACTTGGTATTTTTCTGATTCTCTTTGGCCTCTGAACTTGTTCTAAAGCTTCTCCAGAACTCGGAACAATGATAGCTTCTGGACCTTGTCCAGAACTACTTCCTTCAGAATTACCACCTTCAGAGTTACTTCTGGAAGCTTGTCCTCCAGACCCTATGTCTTCAGAGTTTTCCCTTCCAGAAATATAATCACCATCAGATTCTGGATCATCATCAGAATTTGGATCAGAATCAGATCCACTATCAGAATCTCCTTGAGATTATGACTCATCTTCATAGTCTTCAGATTCATCTTCTGACTCTGACCCGTCTTTAGAACTTTCTGAAGAATCTTCAGAAACTAACTCTGATGTTGGCGTTATACCAGAATCTGATTGAAGCTTGTTCCAATCCCATGTTTCTGACTCTTTCACAATAACGTCTCTCCTGGTTTCACCTTTTTTGGTTTCTGGACAGTAAAGCTTATAGGCACATGTACTGTGGTACCCCACCAGTAACATTACTTTGCTTCTATCATCTAGTTTCTGTCTTATAGCTTCTGGAACGTGTTTGTAGCATACATAACCAAACACCCTCAGATGGATAACACTTTGCTTGTCTCCAGTCCACTTTTCTAAAGGAACAATTTCCTTCAGCTTCTTCGTTGGACACCTATTCCGAAAATATGCTGACGTGGCAACAGCTTCTCCCCATAACATGTGAGGTAGCTTCTTCTCTTTCAGCATACTTCTGGTCATATCAAGCAAAGTTATGTTTCTTCTTTCAGCAAGACCATTGTGCTGAGGAGTATATGGAGCAGTAACCTCATTTTCTATTCCATTCTCCTCACATAATTTCTGGAACTCTGTAGAGTTATACTCACCTCCACCATCCATTCTCAGAATCTTCAGCTTCTGACCACTCTGCTTCTCAGCCTTCACCTTGAACTTCTGGAACTCAGTAAACACTTCATGCTTGAACTTGATGAGTGTTACCCATGTCATTCTTGTGAACTCATCCATAAAAGACACAAAATATTTGTTTCCTCCAAGTGAAGATACTGGAAATGGTCCACACACATCAGAATATACTACTCCCAAAGCATGCTTCACTCTGGGGGCTACTTCTGATGCAAATGGAAATCTGGGTTACTTGCCTTTCATGTATATCTCACATGACTTCTCAGGCTTCACAATCTTAGAAAGGCCATGTACAAGCTTCTTAGAACTTAGATGCCCTAAGCTTCTATAGTTCAAGTGCCCTAACCTCTTGTGCCACAACTTACTGTCACCTCCAGCGCCTTCTGCACTAAGACACAATGCTTCAACTGTTTCTACATTCACCTTGAATATTGTGTTGCTTCTCTGCTCAGACTTCATAATCAACTTCTGATTAGAATCATATAACGTCAAGAGGTTGTCCTTCATAAAAACTGAGAACCCTTTCTCAATGAGCTGACCCACACTCATCAGACTGCTTTTGATTCCAGGAACATACCAAACATCTTTGATCAGAATGCTTTTTCCATTCTTCACTGACTTTGACATTTCCCACACCTTCTGCATTAAGATGCTTATCATCAGCATATCTGATCTTTGTTCTCCTTCTGGAGTCAAAGTCTACCAGCCATTGTTTGTTCCCAGTCAAGTGGTTTGAACGACCAATGTCGATATACCACCAATCTTCTAAAAACTTTCCATCAGAATCAGAAGCCATCATTAGCACAGGTTCATCATTATAATCTCCTCTGGCTATATTTGCTTCTTCTGATTTCCTTCCTCTGTTTCTACAATCTCTGGAAAAATTGCCAAACTGTTTACAACAGTAACATTGAACCTTCTTCTTGTCATGCCTTTCCTTTCCCTTCTGATATTTCTTTTCATCAGAAATTGAGGTTTCTGACTTCTGGAATTTATCACCACGTCTATTCTGCTTCTGGTCCTTCTTGACAAAAGAAGCCTTCAGAGCTTTCTCCACTTCCCTCTCAGAAGTTCTTTCAGTCAGACGCAACTCCTGCGCTTCTAGACTGCTTTG